CTCACGCAAGCTTTGAGCCCCTCGCCTCACCCCGGCGACACGCGCTCAAATGTATTCTCCTCGTCAGAGATCGGCCCCTCCGATGGGCCAGCCCTACTATGGCTCAAGAGGGGCTCAGCCCGTCCGTCGTCCCCGCGGGCGAGCGACGCGCGCGCGCGCGCTTTGTGAAGCAAATGCTCGAGAGGGGCTGCGCCACTGCGGCGCAGTCCGGGACCCAAGGCGGCAAATGTATACCGCTTCTGGACTATCTTCGTCTACTACATGTATATAATATGCGCAGCAGTCACTCCGTCAAGCAGCGCCTCGCCAGTCAGCCGCGCTCGTTTTTAGTCAGGGGTCGCAGAACGTGGTCACGGCCGGATCCAGTTCAGCGCGGCGCGGCAGCCGCGCGACGGCGCCTCCTGCACGGCGACACAGCGCCCCTCCTGGCCTGCCCGCTCCGCCACGCTCCGCCACGCCCCGCCCCGCCGTCGAGGTGTCAACCTCGTTGTCGGTTGTCGCCGATCTGCACGGCCGCGCGTCACGTTTCCGCGGCCCGCCGCCGGCTAGCGGCAGCACGCACGCCGCGACGGGGGCTCTCGAAGGCCACGGCCGCCGCGGCCCGGGCAATGTGGGTCGTCTGCTTGCTCAAGCAGGCCGGCTATGGGCCCCGGACCCGCACCCCGCGGCATCGACTGCGAAAAAGACTGGCGCTTCACAATATACTGTTCCGACATAATAATTTCGGTATTACATTGTTTGACCGTTATGACATCGTTTATTTCTCCAGTTACGAAGCCTGACGGCAGCGCAAAAGCCGTTTTGCTTGATAATTCATCTGTTTTTCGAGGATTATGCGGCCGGAAGGGCCGGAAGCTGCTCCAAGCAGCATGTATTTATGCCGGCGTGCTGATGCGCGATGGCGCCGGGCGAGCGGGCGCCGCTTATCGGCCGCTGCTGCGCCGTGCAGGCCGCCGAGGCCGCCGAGGCCGCCACCGAAGGTGAGCAGAGCGACATTATGGGTCGTCGGGGAGGTGCAGGGGCGTCGTGGACGCCCCTGTAGCGATATTGTGGGTATGGGCCAGGCCAAGTGGACGCCAAAGTGCGACATTGTGGGTATGGGCCAGGCCAAGTGGACGCCCCCCGTTGCGACATTATGGGACGTCGGGGAGGTGCAGGAGCTCCGGGGACGCCCCCTCTTCCCCCAGCCCGCCAACCACGGAGGACGCAGAATACTTCTGTGTCCTCCGTGCCCCCAAACAGAGCGGCGCGTATCCGCCGCGCGCCCGCGGTGCGGCGCCGCCGGCGTCGTCGGCCTGCCAGCCCGGAGTCTGGAGTGAGAATGGTCCAGACCGGGCCCGGCCTGGAGTGTTGCGGCCACCGCGAGGGGTGGTGCGGAAGGCGGCGGCGGCGCGGCCGGCG